ATTCTTTCCTAGTCATCTCCATGCATTTGACACTCAGAGCCACCAAACACTTCCCAGGAGATGGACACCTAGCACATGGGACAGTGTGGACAAGGAAGATTCTGCATTAGTTCCTTCTCATAGATGATAGAGACATCCCTCCCCTTCTGCTCCTCCTTGTCAGGGACACAAGGGAGCAAGTGCCACCACCCTGGGTTTTAAAGTAGATTCGTAGGTCAGAACAGCACTCAGGCACTCTCACCATGTTCCCGGGGTTCCATGTGCACTACTGTTCTTTTGGGATTGGCGCCAAGGTGTCTTGAGGTTAAGGTCCTTTTCCCTGCACAGGGACACTGGTTTCAGTCCTCCCCACCCACAGTGGGACAGAGTGAGCCTGTGTTGCATTGGCCAACATGGCTGTGCTGCTTTTCTCCCCAGCCCAGGACCTCTGACACACCCACTCCTCTGTGTGGAACTTGGGCCACCATCAGCTGAGGACCCTGCCATGTGTCTCTTAGTTTAATTGAACCTCTGTGGCTGTCCTGATTCGAGTGGGCAGCATCCTCTGAACCTGTGAAATGTGCCTGTTTGCAGTTTCCCCAGGCTGAGGTCTTCCTGTGTTTTTTCTGAATGAGCAGAAGGAAAGGAAATGAAGGAGAATGGGTGGGAACTCACAGGGCAGGAACAGGAAAAGTGCAGAATCTCAGAAAGTTCCAGAGTACAGGACCCCTTGGAAGAAAGTGGTGGGCAGATCACTCCTCTGTCTTCTCCTTGCCCTAGAGACGTCCTCAGAGTGTTTCCTGGGGGATCTCATGATGATCCTGAGCCACCTCAGGTGCAGTGTAGATCTGGTTATCACAACTGACTTCTATACTTTATGCCTCATTTACTTATAAAGATATTTTCTAGGTAAGTGGATTTCCCTTTTCCATGACTCTATTTTAGTGCTCTCTTTACTATTGTAAAGGCTCCTTTTGGTGCATTGTAGTTCTGCAAAACAGACGGTTCCCTGGGCACAATCTGCAGGCATGGGATATACTGTGCTCCATCTTAGTCCCTGGTGCCCCCTCTTTCTTTTTCTTCCATCCCCACCCCCTCCCTCTTCTCTCCTGTCCTCCTTCTGTCTATTCATCTGCTCCTTTGTCATTGGTGGGCTCTTGACCTTTGTGGAGCTGGGCTCACTGCTGTGCTGTGGTGTCTGTGCCCAAGCACATGGTGTCATGTGGTGCTTTCCTTCCACATTTCCTCCCTGTCCCAGACCCCTTCCCCCAATCTCTGTCTCCTTTGCAACTGGTTGTCCTAATCTCTTCATGTCACCTTACCCCCCTTTCCCTTTCATTTGCTCTAGCTTTTGCACCAGAGGGTGACATGGGACCCTCACCTTCGAGAGTCGGGCTCTTTCACTTGTCATGATGTTCTCCACTTCCATCCATTTACCTGAAATGCCACCATTTTCTTCTTCTTTAAGGCCTTGAGTTCAGCCTGGATTGTGTGGGTGTGGACAGATCAGGAGGAAACCTCTGGCAGAAGAAGGCAGATCCTGACCGCACTGTAGAGAGAGCAGAGAGCTGAGGGTCCCCTCAGTAATGAGCCATGTGGTACAATTGCTCTTGTGTATTGTTTTCTGATCCTTCTGATGAGATATGGCAGTTTGATATCTCTCCTAGTTTACTGTGGCTAGCATAAAATTCCCACCTATTGAGCAGTGTGTTCTTTCCCTCACATGTCCCTTAGGAGTCCAGGCTGGGTCCTCAGCCCAGCCTGAGAAGATTGAAATTGGGCAGTCAGTGGGCAGCTCTCCTTGCTGAAGCTCATGGTCTTCTTCCAGGTCCAGTGGCTGAGGCAGAGTCATCTTTCCACAGTTGTAGGCTGAGGTCCCAATTTCCCTGTGGTCATCATAACAGAGTTACTTGAAGCTGATCTAAATGCTTGCACTGTGGCTAGCGCTACCTCCAAGACCAGCCTTAGACCATGTCCCCACATCCAATCTTCAATGGCATGAGATTTCCTTCCTCTGACTCTACGTAGATGTGAAGGGCTTTCCTCTCTTACACCATCTGTGTCATTACATCTATAAAATCGTTCAAAAGAATTTTTCCAGAAATCCTTTTTGAATTCCTGGGGTGGATTTTGATACAGGGACTAGGTTCTTTGGGAGAACCACTTAGAATCCTGACTATCTACTGCCTTTGGTTATCACCATAATGACTGGATCCCTGTTGGATGTTTGGAGCTTGATATCTTTGGAGGATTCCATTCTTCTATGGTCAGTTGATTCTAGATATGGAGAGGATAAAGGGCTAACCCGCAGTTAGCATGGAGGTGACAATGGCTTCCCCAGTCTTCCTGTGTGTCAGCTGCACCAGGCACTAAGTCCTCAGGAATACAGGGCCTACTTCTCTTCTGGACCCACAGGCACTCCCTGCCCTTATCAGCGGCCTCAGGCTCCCTGGTAGAGCTCCATGGCCTCCCAGCCTCAAGCCCTGTCTGTCTCCACACACTGACTCTGTGACTTCCTTCCACAGGACCAGCCTGTCCCTCTCCCAGCCCTGAGCAAGGCTTCTGTGCAGCCTGGGAATGTGGGGACAAACCACGCAGTGGCTTCCCAGGCTTCAATCTTGGTGAATTATCCTATGAATTTCCACCTGAGACCTGCAGACTCACATCCCTTTGGTGATATTTCAGTCCCCTGTGGATTCATCCTAATCCCATATGCTTATGTCTTCATGTAACCTAGACACCTAACCTTCCTATAGGCAGCCCAGTGGCTCTTCTGTTCCCCAGGTTTCTTCCCAGCTGGAGGAGGTGTGGCATGTTTAATGCAACACCCACCAGAGACACTTAGAATCTTGACACTGCAACTTAAGAATTGTGTGTGACATTGGGTTAGTTACTTCATTTTGCTCAAGCCTCAGTTCCTCATCTGCAACATGGGAGTAATAACATCTCTCTTATAAAGTTGTCTGAGGAGTAACCTAGGTACATTCTATGATGTTAGTTATGACTCATTGTTTTGGCTAGATCTAGTTTCATGGGAAGCAAATGTGCAGACAGGTGGTTCATGGTCAATAGGTTCTTCATATTTTTATCTTTCACAAAATAATCAGAAATATCTTGAAATAAAACCAAGACCTGAGCTTGGTGGTGCTGGCATGTGATCCCATGGACTCAGGTGCTGAGACAGCAGGACTGGAAGTTAGCGGCCAGCATGGGAAACTTAGAACTTATCACAATAAAAATAAATAAATACATTTGTAAGTAAATAAAAGAGAGGGAGGAAATCTGAGTAGTAGAGTACCCCAGTGTTCATTCTTCAGTATTAAACCAAAAATCACAACCACAACAATGACCACAAAACTAAACAACCACACAACAGCCCCAGAAATAAGAAGCCACCACCTCCCCAGGTAAACACTTTGAAGGTCTCTCAGGAACTTAAAAGCTCACTGTCCTCATCCTGGGTTCTCATGCAGTTTCCCATCCTTGGCCTGTGGCTTTGGAACCTCATGGCAGTATCTGAACACTACTCTGCCTGGGTCTCAGCCCACAGAGCCAGAGAAGATGGTCTGATGAGGGTGGGCATAGCTTGATGATGATGATGATTACTTGAGGATCACTTTTCAACCCCAGAGTCTGGGACAGGACATGCAGAGCTCACCAACGTCCCCCTTCTGGGGCTGGGGTCAGTGTGAGGCCTGCCTAGTGCCAGGGAGACTCTGGGTTGAGCCTTCTCACTAGGCCTCCTTTCCCCCCTGCCAGTGCGTGGGGTGCTTTCCCCTCTCAGGACCGGGCCTCCTGCAGAGCCTGGGCTACCTCCCCTCCCTCTGTTCTCTGATGTTCAAGCCCAGCTCAGGGCCCTGGAGCTCATTCCTGAGGAGTCTGGGTGGACGGCTTCCACACTCAGACTCTCCCATGGGCTCTGGAGCCCTGGGTCGTCCTTGTGGAGGGTGCTGTTCCAGGCCAGTGTCCTCCTCAGTGAAGGTGGGGTCTCTGGTGTGTGAAAGTCACCAGTGTCCTCACCATCTATGGGACTTGCTCCACACTAGGCTGAGGACAGAGAGGCGTTGGCCTTGGGGCCAAGTGTAAGGAGCTCCATAATGTGGGTATTTTCATTAATTTTATTTTAATGCAATATTTTTAAAATGTTAAAATTCATGCAAAAATACTTCAATATGAAAAAAGTAAGAAATTAAAAAAAATAATATTGAATCTATCTTGTGAATGAAGACTTATATCTAAGGTACTGGTTTGTAATGTGGCAATCTGTATCTGGAAATTACTTTGGTCTGTGAATTGTGTTGTTTGTGTCACCAGGTGGAGTTGACCAGGGTTGCAGTGTATAGTGAAGGAACATGGGATGGGATCCCACCAGAGTAGTTAAAAACCATCTCATCAGAAGACAGAAAGCTGTTCAGTGCACAGAGAAACCTGTGGCATTTTGTGACCTTGGCTGTCAGGAGAGTGTTCCCATGAGGACAGAGCCCTAGGAATCCAGTTGCATGGACCAAGAACACATCCTGCACACACATGTTCTGTGTGAGCCTGTTTCCTACATACAGGATGAAGACAAATGTCAGGCAGGGGTCTGGCTCCTCATAGCTCATTACCCTGAGATACAAAAGCAGTTCCTCAGCTTGGCTCTGATCATAGGAGGGCCCCCTAAAGAGGAAGCCTGCTGAGTGCTTCCTGGAAGCACTCAGCAGAGGGAAGCACTGAGTCCCCTGTTTCCAGGTCACCTTCAGATCCTCCAGGGGAGCAGGGAGCTCAGAAGAGGTGTCTGCACCATGCTTGTATCATGCTCAGGAGCTGGAGAGAGCAGGGGACACTGGGTAATTACTCCAGATAGAGAAGTGGACCCTGGAAGCTGTTTCAGACTCTACTCTTGCTGCTAAAATGCCCAAAGATATTTTCTTTTTTGATCTTCTCAAATTCAGGTGAGTCAAGTTTGAGCATGCCAGATGGTGTCAGCATGGGCATCATGGAACCATGTAACCTGAGAATCATTGCTCTGGAGTGTCCTCTTACCTGAATGTCTCAGGTAAGAAATGCCATGTTTAAGTTCACACACATGCAGGATAAAAAGCACTGGTTGTTTTATTCACTAGGAGAAATTTCAAACTAATCTTCCAACTGCTCCAATAGACAACAGCAGTGGGGCAGAAGTTGATTATTCTGTTCACATTGAGCTCAGATGAAGACAGGAGAAGCTCAGTCCTAAAGCATTAAAAGAAACAAATTCAGAGTATTTGTAACCATTCATATTGGCCCTCTTTATCCTGCTGTGTCTGGACTCTGGCCTGGACAAAGAGGATGGACAAAACCTTAGCACCTGCAGATAAACTCACCAGAGCCTCAGCCCTGAGAAGCTGATCTATATTTCAAGCATAAATTTAATTTCAACTTTTACCTATTAATACCACCTCATTTAAGGAAATGAACAAGACCCTGTGGTCTCTCTCTGCTGTCATTAAAGTTTTCTTTTGTGCATTCAGTGCACTCAGGGAGGGTAGATGTCACCACTGCCCATGTCACAGCATGGGCAACACAGAATCTTGCTCAGGCTGTTTCCTCCAGGGCCAGGCAAGGACAGCTGCACATAGTGTCACAGGGACCCAGGCTGAGGAGGCTCCATCTCCTTGTGTTTGCACCCTGTGGATCCCATGGTCTCCAGGTGGTGTGGGATAGGAGCCCTGGAAAAGAAGTGACTTATTGAAGGTTATTTTTACCTTTTACTGTAAAGTATTTTCTTAAAAAGAAGCAACATCACTGTTTCCCTGGTCAGACAGTAGAAGAGATAGTGAAGAACAACACCATATTTGGCCAAAAAAACTATAAGATGCTAATAACATCATGTAAGGTAGGTACTCCAGTGTGCATGCTCACCCAAGGAAGCACTGCTGCTCTTTACAGGCAACAGAAAATAGAGTCTTGCCAATCCTTTTATAATTTCTTACTATTTCTCTGCATGTACTGTGTATTTCTGTGTGAGAAATTGCACCAACTAATTTCAACCATGACCATTGTATTCTCACTCCTCTTTTGTGGGATAGGAATCAGGAGGGGCTTCCCAGGTAGTTCTGGCTCAAGATTTGTCCCCAGGTATTGTGGAGTGTTAACCACAGGGGCAGCCATGGAAGGACTTCTATGGTGGGTCTCCAGGGGCCTCCCCTATGTCAGCCAGCTGATGGTGCCATAGCAAGGAGCTGGAGTTCTCACTGTGGCCCTGCCCTGGGCTGCCTGGGGGTCCTCACCAGGGGTCCTCTGGCTTCCCTGGAGAAGTTCTCCTCCCAGAGTGGTCAGTAGGCAGAGATCTTTGTGTCCTAGCCTCTGGAGTCACTCACTGCCACTTCCTGGTCATGGATTGGTAAGAGACCACCCCTGTCCTGTGTGGAGGGGAGAGTGTGAACAGCTGGAGGGAATCAGGAGGCAGGGCACTGGGACATCCTGGTGGCTGAGTCTGTTCCTGACTGTCCCCCTGGAGGCCTCCTGCCTGGAGGATCCTCTCAGCTTTCCTAGCAGCAGGATTCTGCAGGAAACAGTTGTCAACTGTGCTGTCCTCAGGCATTTGACTGTGATAAGTTACACACCCCAGGGTGCCTCCTTATAATTTTGAGGACAGGTTCCATTAGCTATCACTGACATTTAAGTAAGAAAAGAAAGTTTATAAAATTCATTCCTGTTTTCCATCTTTGTAAAAATGAGACCTTCATCTACTGCCACCCACCTTTGCCTGGATGTGTCATGTGGGCATTTCCTGTTTGAAAGGTTTCTACATTTTCTTCAATCTAAAAATCTCTGTTTTCTAGCTGTAGAAACTTGGGTTGAAAGTTATTTTTTTAGTATTTGAAGATGTTGTTTGTGTTCCTTTTCTTCCACTGCCTCCCATCTTTCCCCTTTCCTTCCCTCCCTCCCTCCCCTCCTGGCCCTCCTTCTCCCTCTTCTCTCTTCTTCATATGATGTGTTATTTTGCAGCAGGTCTTATTATTTTACCAGCATTATTAGTCTATATTAATTAGCTTAACAGAATTTTGAGTAATGAATGCACCCTGAATTATATTTGAGGTAAAATAGAAGCTCTTCATTAATTTGTCTGCCTGTTTACAGATTATCTTAGGTCCTGGGTAAGATTTGGTGACAGAATAAAGACAGGTTAGGAAACAAGGTAGACTCAGGGCAAAGAAGCAGTTGGTAAAGGAAACCTTTAGCTTCTGAAGTCAAAGCTCAGGTGGAGCTATGGGAGGGGTACAAGCAATAATGAGAGGATCTCAGGGAACATGTGGCCTGATGGGTGACACAGCCTGTGGACAGGGAGGGAGCTGACATTTCAGGTGTGGAAGGGCCAACTCCTGACCTTGACAGCCAAGGTCAGAGGAAGTGTTGGAGCCTTCAGAGTGAGCAGGACCAGAGCTCAGCTGGGATGAAGGGACAGCAGACACATGGTCAACGTCCTTCCCTTCCTTACCAACCATGATGCATGCACTTGGTGTGTCCCTTTCTGTTGCTCCCTCTTACCCACCTTTGCATTTCTGGCTGGTAACACTGATAATTTATCATGCCCAGGTCTTAAAGGAGTCAGGTGTAGAGGAAGCCTCTCTGGAATAAATATTGTGCTCAGGTATAAAAAGGAAGAGTTCAGTAACTCCTCCTGCAGGGTGTGGGGATGTGACAGAGCTCATGAACCTCGTCTTGGTTGGAGAGTGAGCAGGAGAAGTGTGTCCTGAATCTTGATGAGACCAAGAGGTCTCTCTGATCACAGGAACGAGGGATGGTTCTCTCCTGGGCCTCTCAGGAAACACATTTTCTCCAGGCAAATATGTGCTGCCCTAGACTATGCTGGGACACCTTGGGACACTTGGACAGGCCTGAGAGGAGCCTCCCTGCAGCTGTGCCCAGCCTGCCCAGCCCTGCTGATTCACATGTGCCCACAGCACAGCCCACTGCCCTGAGGACTTCTTAAAGGCTGTTCACACCCTGTGCAGGAGTCAGGCCCATCAGGACACAGCATAGCCATGAGGGCCCCTGCTCAACTCCTGGGGCTCCTGCTGCTCTGCATCCCAGGTAAGGAGGGACAGCACTGGGGATGTGCTCAGACCAATTTCATCAGTGCTGCCTGGTGTTCAGGGAAATCCTCTTGTGACATTGTTAATTGTGTGCATATTTTTTCTCATGTGTTCAATTGTAGGTGCCAAATGTGACATCACGATGACCCAGTCTCCAACTTCCTTGTCTAAATCTCAAGGAGAAACACTCACCATCAGTTGCCGACCAGTCAGGGCATTAGCAATTACTTAAGCTGGTACCAGCAGAAACAAGGGCAAGCTCCTAAGCTCCTGATCTATTATACCAACCGTTTGCAATCTGGGGTCCCCTCGAGGTTCAGTGGCAGTGGATCTGGGACAGATTATTCTCTCACCATCAGCAGCCTGGAGCCTGAAGATTTTGCCACTTATTTCTGTCAACAAGATTACAGTTCCCCTCCCACAGTGACACAGGCCATGACAAAAACCTCCCAGGGAGCAGAAGTGTGAGGCTGGGCTGCCCCAGCTGCTCCTCCTGCTGCCTCCACCTGCTGAGGGCACTGTTCAGAGGCAGCCAGACTCTGAGGCCACTGGGGGGTTTTTCTAGGCCTGGACAAGCTCCTCTGCACCCTGTTTCTTTCTCCTTTTCAGCCCCAGCACTCAACCATAGATCAGGCCCACTGAGTGGGTGTCTCTGAAGGTGTGTGCCCTGCTCTGTGCAGTAGTGCTCCACCAACCAGTGAGTGACAGGAAGCTAAAAGAAGGCCAATCAGGAGAAGAACCATGATGAGTTCTTACCCTGTGAGTGCAGGACCCTGGTGCTGGGTGAGCTCAGCCAAGATGCCCAGTGGAACAGAATTGGTGTTCAGAGATAGATAAATGCATAGATGGTCAGTTTTTATGACAGAGATGACATTACAAAAACTATGAACAAAACTTCTTCATACGAAAATTTCTCTCTCAGCCTCATGTGCAAACAGTCACCTGGTGTATAAAACAGGCTCAACATCAATAATCATCAGAGAGTGAAATTTCCAACAAACCAGCAGAAACTTTAGAAGAGAGGTCACAAAACTGAACCATGAAAAACATGGAGTGCAGTCTGAGGAATGATCTAGAACATTCTCATGTGTTTGGAAATGTGAAATGGTCCCTGTGTTGGAGACCTGCCCTGACCGTGCATGTACCTGTGATCCAGGCTTTCCACTCAGAGCACATGCAGATGTGCACAGATTCCCATGTGCAGGGACCTCACAGCATTATCTGTGATAACTGCAACCTGAATCATCTAAATGCCAATCAAGGGAAGAATGGATGAATAGAAAAAGGGAAGTGCATGCAATGAAATACTGTACACCAGTGAAAATGGCCACTGACTTCAAGAGCCCTGCAAGTGACACAGGCCACAGATACACCACAGCTCATTACCCATGATACTATTTTTATGAGGATCAAAAACTGGCAAAATTTGATAATTGCTTAAAGATCGCTTACAAATTGCATGGGGAAATGGGGGGTCAATGACTGGTTATTCTGCCTTGAGAGTCTTTTTCTTAGTATTTTACAGACATTATTCTCTTTCCTCCTGTCTGCATATTTCTTCTGATAGCCACATGGAAGTTCCCTTGTATGTTGTGAGTTGGATTTCTCTTGTGGCTTTCAAAACTATCTCTGTAAATTTTCATAATTTGTTTATATTATATTTTAGTGTGACCATCTTTAGGTTACTCCTATTTAGGACCTTCAAGCATAGTTAACCTGAATGTCCATAATCCTCCTATCATCTGGGAAATTTCCAAGAATTATTACTTTTAACAATCCTTTTTCTTATTAAATGTCTCCTGTTTTTATGGAATGCCTATAAAGAATTTGTTGGTTTTTTTGACTCTGTCCCATACATCCACTGTGTTTTATTCATTTCAAATACGGAAAGAAAAAGGTCACTTCAATAGAGTGTTAGAGATTGTGAGAAAAATACAAGCAGAAATCCTGAAAATGAAGGAATCAATAAACAAAATGTTAGATTCAAAAGAAGGCACCACCAACATAGAGACCACTTGGAAGACTGAACCTCAGACAATGAAGACAAAATATACAGTCTTGAATGTAGAGTGTAGTATTTCCCTGATTTCTTGATTTTCTTTGCATTAATCATTTCTTTATTATTGTTTTTCCTCATGGTAACTTGTTAATTATACGTGAATTTATAATCTTGCAGGGAATGTTCCCTCACATTTCTTTGAAAAATATTACAAATCTATATTTCAGGTTGAGTGTGGGGAAGAGAACCCAGCTGACCTGGGCAGTGGCATGGAGCCTCCTTGACAGACAGGACAAGAGCTGAGCCCTGGACCCCAGGCTGGGCTTCTCCCTGGACATGTTCTGTGCTCAGGGAGAGGAAAGGGGCTGGGTCCGAAAGCAGAGGACACCTCTCCCATTCCCAGGGGACTCTCCCAGAATCCTGCCTACTGTGTTTTGTGTGGCCAGTGGAGGGCACCTGGGCTCCCTCTGCATCTCCAGCTGCCCTTTCTAGCCAAGTTCTGCCTTTGGGTCAACATCATATTCACCTTGACCATAATGGCTCTCCTGAGTGATCATCTCCCTCCAGTCATGCTCAGGCATCTGAGGTGGGCAGATGCCCTCAGGTTCCCACCCTTGGACAGAATAGGAAGCCTAGAGCACACCCTCCTCCACATTCTCCTTCCTCATCTCTTCTGTCCTCACCAGGGGTCCAGAGCATCAACAGCCCTGGTGACCCAACTAGAAAACTGTGACATGACTTGAGGGTCATCTAGCCAGGATCTTTAGGAATCCCTGAGGCAGTAGAGACCCAGAGTCTACAGGGCCCCAGGGACAACCTTCCACCCTCTGGGAGACTTATGAGTGACTTTTCCAACTCTGATCCTTCCCCACATGGAGGCAGGCAGTCAAGGGCTTCCAGGCAGGGTGACTGGAGTCTGTATCATCCCTGTACCTCTGCTGAATCCTGTAACTGTGGGGACCACATTGAGTGACCAGGCCTCTCAGTCCTGATGCACCACTGGGTCATGAAAGATCACTGTGTCTAATGGGGTAGTGCCATGACATCTGACTTGGTCTTTTATGCCCCTAGGGTTGAGTTACACTCACCTGTTTCCTTTGCAATGCTTCCCTTTGCTGTTAGGGATAGAAGGTTCCATGGAAACTCCCTTTGTGTGTCCCCTTCTCTTGCTCTACCTTTGTTGTGGTCTTCCTAGATGTCAGTCAATCTGCTGAAAGCAGACACCATAAAGCTGACTCCACCCCTGAATCCTGATCCCTTCCCTCATTTAAATGGTTTCTTCCCAATAAAAGGGTTCATCACTTGCTCCTCTCTCTCATTACATGGGCCCCTAAGGTCAGAGCGGCCACCAGAGGACCCTAATAAAAGGTATTACTCTGTCCTTCTGTGGGTATTTTGTGGAGCCCACTTCACCTGAAGTGACCTTGAGTGTTTAGTTGTGGAACATGACATGTAATAATGAGAGAAATACAATATCTTATGCAAAATTAATAAGTCAATTTTATGCTGTTCATTTTATGAGTTATTGCATGAAAAGTCATTTTTCTGTTTCATTTGTTTTATTAGGTTTTAATCTGAATTTCACACAGAGCAGCTTTTGGAGGGACTTGTAGCATTTCATGTCATCTCTTCACTTACTTGTACACATCCTGCCCAGGGCCCAGGTCGTGCTCCCTCTGCAGTGTCCATGCTCATCCTGTCTGCTCATTCAGAAGATGCTGGACACCTCTGTGCTTGTCCTCCACATGCCAGGCCAGGCTGCTGCAACAGACAGGGCCACTCATGGGTGTGGCCTGAGCTGTGGCCCAGGCAGTCATGGTCCACAGCCCTCAGCTGCACCTGTTGCCTGAGTTCCCAGCACCTTCGTCTCACAAGCAGAGAATCTGCTGAGCTGCTGCCCACACCAGCAGCTCATGTGGCAGCTGGGCCACCCAGTCAGTGAGGTTTTTGTTCAGGGCTACACCACTGTGGGAGGGTTCTCTATACCTTGCCAGCAGTAATACACCCCAGCATCTTCAGGCTCCACCAAGCTGATTCTTAGTGTGAAATGTGTCCCTGACCCACTGCCACTGAACCTGTCTGAGACCCCAGTGTACCGGTTGGAAACCTTATATATTAGGCCCTGTGGAGCCTGGCCTGGCTTGTGCACAACCCAGTTCAAATATGTGTTTCCATTACTGTGTAGGAGGCTCTGACTGGACCTGCAGGAGATGGAGGCTGACTGTCCAGGGGTGACAGGCTCTGAGAGAGGAGTCTGGGTCATCACAATATCCCCAGTGGTTCCTGGAAAAATCACAGAGCAATGCAGGGTTATGTAGGAACTTTAAGAAAAGTTTTCCCATTTTTTTAATACTTTTCAGACTAAATTAATTTTTGTTTTTGATTTATACACTAAAACTACTCATATACATAAAGAACTCAAATTGAGTAAGCTCTAAGAGCTTCTCTAGAATTCCATTCAACATCCCCTGTGTATTATGTGACAACATTCATCAGAACCAGTCCCTTGCTCCTTATGGAACAATCTTTCACATCAATTGACTTCAGCTGCCACATCCTGGAGGACAGACCTGCACATCCCTCATGTGCACAGAGCACACATGGGCAAAATGGGGGCCCAGGGTTCACCTCCCTCCCCCTTCTCCCTCCTCATCCCCTCTGTCCTCACCAGGGATCCAGAGCAGCAGCAGCTCCAGGAGCTGAGCAGGGAGCCTCATGTTGAGAAGCTGAGCTGAGGAGTCCTGGTGAGTCAAGGGCAGGTTAGAGCTGAGCTTTTATGTCAGCCTTGCAGGAAGGCCCTCCCCAGGGAGCAGCATGCAAATGCCCTGGTGACTGCTGGGTGGGGAGAGTGTGGGAGGGAGGGTCTCCTTGTGAGCCCAGGGACATCTGATGTCTTCTACAATTGGAGGAAATAGAGCAGAGAAATAGCCCTGGGTGCCTGTGGTGTGCGCACAAGAATGCATCATGGAAGCCTTACTCTGTGAGGGGTCATGGTGCCCAGGGCCTGCCCTCCTAAGGCAGCACAGATGCACAGATAGTGAGGTGGCCTGCAGATCAGCCTCTGTGAGGGATATGACTATCCTGCTGTCTTCCTCTCAGCTGAGAAGAGAAGATGACAAGTGCCACCTCACAAGTGTTGATGTTTGAAATTTCTTCCAGCCACAGCATGTAGTTGAAGAGGTTCAAGGACTTCTGGTGTCTGACATTACCTGGAGAATTACAAGAGTATCAGGGACAGTTTAGATGTCAACTTTTCCTGGCCCAGTGACTGAAATAAGAGCAGAATTGTGACAAGAACCTGGTGCGAAGAGAAATCATGTTTCAGCTGAAGATCAAGTAGCCCTGCTCAAGGAAAGAGGACAAGAAGCACATCCCCTGAGGTAGTCACTGTGAACCTCCTGGGGTGATGTCTGTAACTGGTGGCCATCTTTTCCTAGTCATCTCCATGCATTTGACACTCAGAGCCAACAAACATTTCACAGGAGATGGACCCCTGAGCCCACGCGACAGTGTGGACGGGGGGGGGGGTTCTTCATTAGTTCCTTCTCATAGATGATAGAGACATCCCTCCCCATGTTCTCTTCCTTGTCAGGGACACTAGTGAACAGGTGCCCCCACCCTGGGTTTTAAAGTAGATTCCCTAGGTCACAAATTCACTCAGGCACTCTTCCCATGTTCAGGGGTCCCATGTGCACTACTGTTCTCCTGGGGCTTCCCCAAGGTGTCTTGGGGAGAAGGTCCTTTTCCCTGCACAGGGACATTGATTTCAGCCCTCCTAGTCCACAGGTGGGACAGAGGGAGCATGTGTTGTGTTGGCCAACATGGCTGTGCTGCTTTTTTCCCCAGCCCAGGACCTCTGGCACAGCCTCTCCACTGTGTGGAACTTGGGCCACCAGCAGCGGAGGACCCTGCCATATATTTATTAGTTTAACTGAACCTCTGTGGCTGTCCTGCCCTTTCTTTGCTCTAGCTTTTGCACAGGAGGTTGATATTGGACCCTCACCTTCCAGAGTCAGGCTGTTTCCCTTGTCATGATGTTCTCCACTTCCATCCATTTGCCTGAAATGCCACCATTTCCTTCTTCTTTAAGGCCTCTAGTTCAGCCTGGATTGTGTGGTTGTGGACAGATCAGGAGGAGCTCTGTACAGAAGAAGGCAGAACCTTTCCACACTGCAGAGAGAGCAGAGAGCTGAGGGTCCCCTCTGCCATGAGCCATGTGAGACAATTGCTTCTTGAGTTTAGTTTTCTGATCCATCTGATGAGATATGGCAGTGTGATGTCTCTCCTAGTTTTCTGTGGCTGAGCAACAAATTCCCCACTATTGAGCAGTGTGTTCCTTCCCAGGCCTGTTCCTCAGGAGTCCATGCTGGGTCCTCAGCTTAGCCTGACAAGACTGAAATGGAGCAGGCAGTGGGCAGCTCTCCTTGCTGAAGTTCAGGGTCTTCTTCCAGGTCCAGTGGCTGAGGCAGAGTCATTTTTCCACAGTTGTAGGGTGAGGTCCCAATTTCTCTGTGGCCATCAGCACAGAGCTACTGGAAGCTGCCCTATAGGTTTGAAATGTGGCTACTTCTGCCTCCAAGAGCTGCATTAGAGCATCTCCTCACAACCTGGCTTCATGGCCTGAGATCCTCCATCCTCTGCCTCCATGTGCAGATGGAGGAACTTCAATGATGAAGACAGATATAGTGTGTACTCCCTCTCTCTCTTAGATTCAACTTATTTGATTGTATCTCAACATCTTTCATAAGAATTTTTATTGAAATTCCTGTTTGAGTACCTGGGGAGTGGGATGGCACAAGGCCTGGGGATTGGGATCAACAACTTGGAATCCTGTCCACATACTACCATTTTTTCACCTACCATAATGACTGGATCCCTTTTGGATATTCAGAAGCTGGTACTGTTTGGAGGAATCAGTTTTAATAAGATCAGGTGATTCCAGGTAAGCAGAGGATAAAGAGGTAACCTGCAGTTGGCACAGGAATGACAATGGCTTTCCCTGTGTTCC